GCAGCGTCAACGAATTCTCCTCCACCATTGTAGTAGAGTCCTTCCATTCGTTCGACGCCTCCGGGACCAAGAATATCGAGGTTCACGGCTCTCGCACCGTCTTCGGTTTCATATTGGAAGCCAGGATATACACAACCCCGGCATATTCCGTCGAAGAACCGAAGAGGGCGATCACCGGAGACCTCCATTGGCGTCCCGACCTCCCATTCCACTCGCTTCGAAGCAAAGTACGCACCAGCACAGAGCCCAAGGTATGCACCGCCATTGTGGACGTAGGATTTAATGGTGGACATCGAAGGAGATAGGGCAGACAGGTATGGCAGATCGCGCCCACCCGGGATGACAAGAAGAGCACAAGTAGAAGCCCATGGCTGGTTGGCTAGTGCGTGTGCTGTGATGGTGTTCACCGCATAGTTAGGCAGCAAGAGCGTTCGGAGTGAGCTCAGTGTGTGAGTCAGTGAGGTCTGCGATACGCCAGGGCCAGAATATACCAGCACGTTCATCCAGACGACCGCAGTGCGAAGGTGTAAGCGCTCAAGTTGTCCGTTCAAACTCCGCGAACATAAAGTCATATTGAGTTTCAGTTCAATAAAGTTACTATTCTATTTTGACTGCCCCAGCTCGCAGCCACTCTCCATAATATTCGCATTCTCTGGGGTTCACCGGTCCTTTATCACTGCAAAAGTCGAATTGCGGACACCGTCCACACGGTGCTTGTGACCATCCCAACGCCACATGTTCCTGACGAATCGCGCGATAAACAAACGCACCACCATAGTCATCGACAATTGACATGCCGGCTACAAGCTGTTGGGGTGATGGAGATCGTTTACGGGAACGTTTTCGCGGAGGGCTGTCCTGCTCGGACTTGATCGGGGACGAGTCCAAATCTGAACTGGAAAGGGAGGTGGATCGTCCGCGTTTGCTTCTGCTTCTGCTCTTCCGCCTCGAAGATGGCTCGTCATCACCTGTATCGTCGCCGCGACCGCGACTTTTTTGTGGGCTTTTCTTCGTGCTCCCGTGTCCTTCGCTGTCGCTGGCGCTCCCAACGTGTTTGCTTGATTTTCGACTTCTTCTCCGCGAGCTTCCCTCGCCGGCCGAATCCTCGTCATCATCTCTTCCTCTATGAACACTGCTCGACCGCCGAGAGCGCTTGCTTTTCGGAGTTGCTTCCTCATCGTCGCTCTTGTCTGCCGCGGCACTTGCTTCCCAGAGGGCTCCGCCGAACGCAGGGATCTAACGACCTTAAGTTGACTAGTGAAGATTGGTAAGAGCATCAACATACTTTCTCAATCTCTCCGTCTATAATGAGCACGTTCAAAAGCATCTCAACGTGCTCGACGCTGAGCTGCGTCTCGGTAATTTTAGATTTTGAAAGGAACGCTTGGATCTGTTGTGCGGTTGTGTACGAGGGCGCAGATGATATTGAGTACAGTGGTCGCTTGTCGGTGTTGGATTTTGGAAAGGTCTGAAGATTCATAATGGTTCGTGATTTGAGCGAACGACGGAATGGAAATCGCAAACGCAACTTGCCTTGTCCCGGATGAACCGCAAGCATGCGCTGGATAAAAGTTTAATGAATTCGGTATCGAGTTCTTTGTCTGTGTACCACGGCCCTCCTGTGATATCGACGGACGGTTCTAGGTGAGCGAGCATGTAAAGTTTACGAGTCGGGTGCTGTGAAAGGTGAATTGTGTGCAGTAAGTCCTCATGGGCATTAGGGATGGGATGTACTTTTACGCCAGTGATGCCTTTGACGAGGTCTTTTTGGACAAGTGATTTGAGGCATCGGTCGATGATGGTTTGGTGCAACTCGGTCTTTGCTTTTAGATGTTTCGTCCAGATACCTGAATGGATCATCACATTTCAATTCAGTTCCGGTCACGATGGAGATGCGTGTTCTTGTGGTGCGCGTGTGTGTTTGGAATTTGAGGATGAATTGGCATACCTTCGTTGCCAGCGGCTTGGATATGACTCAGAACGAGATTTTCCTCCCCGGCTAAATCCTTCCTCCTGCAACACCTCACTTAATCCACGTCACCTAACGCACAAACGGAGTTGTGACATACACATCTAACTCATTCTTCGTAACTGCCCGGTAGGACAGTGTGCCATCGGATCCCCTCGCCGCTCGAAACAAGCCCTAGAGATGAACGTATTTAGAGTCATTGTAAACGCGTAAATGAGCGGTATTACTGACGGTGCCCAAGAGGAAATTGATTGCATCCACTCGAGGTTTCTTGTCTGGGATGAGAGCGTCGCATTCTGCTTGCGTGAGGGTCTGTTGTTGAGAGACTAAATTAGACGATGCTAATGTCGGTGAGAGCAGTTGAAAGTCGAAACCTTCTCAGAATCGGCAAGAGCCGTTTGGTGCAGTCGCTGCTCCAACGCATTTAGTTTGCGACCTGGCATCGTAAAGTTCTGGTCCAAGTCAGTTTGTGACGTGTGACTAGTATTCTATTTTCAACGTGACATGACGCGTTGGATGATTTGCATGAACCACGAAGTCCCTTATGCCCTCGTCAACCATGGGTCCGCCAAATGAAAGAATCGAAGTGCAGGATGGCTTATCTTCGTACTTCGACCGTACTGCAGTGACTGTCCGGTCTCGTTTTCGCCAGTGAGCACATTCATTTGACGTCATCGTGGTTGGGGACTGAAGACGTTTTGGTGTCTGTAGGATCGAGGAAAACTATATCGCTCCTTCCGTTGATGTCGCCAAACAATTCTTCTATGAATCTCCTGTTACTGCTGTTCGTCGTCGTCGTGTGATTGTTTGAATTTTGGTGGCGTTGACGATGGGCTTTGCAGACTGCCATTGGCATATTTTCATCGCTCAGCTTCTTACCCGTGACGGCCTTCATGTGAGCACGTCTTCCTGCATAATGTGGTACTGATTGATCAGCCTTCGTGCAGTGGCTTCTCCATCTTCATCTTCGCATCGTTCATCTTTCTTGCACTTGCTGCGGCAATCACAGCTGCTCTAACAATTGTCTCTGTCGTCGGTGCGTTCACCATAAATTCCCGAGTAATATGTAGCCATTGATAGCGTTTACTGGTCTAGCCATCGCTCTCCTAATGAACCTTACGGTTGCTATGCTTGCTACTTTTCTCTTGACGAGTATGGCAATCGGCATATACCTCTTCGCAAGACTCGTGACTCTCCTCCGCTCGAACGATACTCTCCAAGCAGGCGCAGTGCAATGGGGTCAAGAAACGAAAGGCCACATATCGTCGAGGATACCGCAGTTGAGCATCAGCGGCAGAGGAAATTATGTTTTGGTGCCCCAGGTTGACGGTAATGGAGCTGCCAGTGGTGGGGATGGTTCCGTGGAGTCTAATTACAAAGTCGAGCCGAAGGACGAGGCGATCACTTCTTGACCTGACAAACTTGAACGTTCTGCTGATAAACATTTCGCTGTATGCTGCTGACTCTCGTTTTATCTTTTATCTTATCGCATATTGCATGTACATTAACACACACTCGAAAACCAGGTCTTGGCAATGGCAAATTATACATTTGGTAAACACGACGGTATAACCTTACTCTCCCTGGCAACCCACGCTTGGTCTCGCAGTTTTCTTGCCAATTCCATGCGCCGATCATGTGACGTGACCGACAATAGGGGAAACCCCATTCTAGGGTAACTTAGCGACGCGACTGTGACGGCTTCGGTCAGCCTCGTTCTTCTTTCTTAACCACCATCAACACGCCCTACAACCACTCATGGTAAGCCCATTATCTTGTCAAAAAATCTGTTGTTGGATCTGCGCTGAAGCCGAAATATAATATATTGTAGTCGACAACAGCTCGGAGACGACTCATTCGCGATTTCAAGAGACTCTCGTCAGATCCGCCAGGCGGCATTTCAGGGAGCCCGTGTCATGATAACATCATGCAGTGGAATGCTGTCATCTTCGGACCTGGTGCGCTTGTTCCTTTCCCGTTTTGATTCACCCCCCTCTGACTTGTGGAACGTTGATTATGAAGCGGACACGCCGTTCGAGGATGGCACGTTCAAGCTCCTCCTAACATTCGACGAGAGCTACCCAAACAAGCCGCCGACGGTCAAGTTCCTCTCGCGCATGTTCCACCCGAACGTGTATGCGAACGGCGAGCTGTGTTTGGACATACTGCAGAACAGATGGAGCCCGACGTACGATGTGGCGGCGATCCTGACGAGTATACAGAGTTTGCTGCATGATCCTAATCCGAATAGGTTCGTTCTTTTCTCGCCCGGCCTCCCTTCTTCTTTCACCACTCCGATGTTCCCCTTCCCCCGATGCTGTGTCTGACTGACATATGGTTATGCGACTGTACAGCCCGGCAAACGCGGAGGCAGCACAACTATACCGAGAAAACATGAAGGAGTACGTCCGGAGGGTCCAGGCCACCGTCGAAGACTCCTGGCTAGACAACGACGAGCGGGAGGAGATGGAGCAGGAGGAGAGGGATGCGGCAGCAGCGGGCGATGGGCAGGGGAATGTGTTCGTGCCAGAGGTACAGGGCGTGCAGCCTGTTTTCTGTAAGTTGATCTCTCTTTGTGGTCTCTCGATACTGATGCTGATTAATATAATAGGAGTGAGATGCGCCATCGGCCATCTCAAGGCAGGCAGCCGCACGTATTGCCGTTAGGAGTGCTGGCCAAGCCGTGCTCGGCCTTGTGCTCGTCCGGACGCCGTCCAGTCTCGTTCCGTTCACCATCTGTTTCCTCAGTTTACCCACAACCATACTTCCTATCCTTTCCATCCACTCATCGCGGTTTCCCTCTCTCCTGTTTCTCGTTTACACACATTCCCCTTTTCCTTTTACTTGCATTACTGCTACAACACGCACGCACGCACACGTCCGTAATTCTATATATACGACCTCTGGTTGCCGATCGGGATGAAATCACAAAAATGTATACTGCGTTTTTACCTCAATGAGAGGGTTGTGTCCACGCGTTCGAATTTGTCAGAAACTGTGTGAAGTTGAGTGACTGAAAGCAAAAAGTATTGGGCCCCGCCGGGGTTCGAGCCCGGGATCACTCGCATGCAGGTTAACCCAAAGCGAGTATCTTACCACTAGACCACAAGGCCACCAAAAATAGTTTCTTATGTGGTGCTAAAATCTCCGTGGAGATAATAGTCGAAAGCGGTAATTTTTTTCCAAGTACAACAAAGTGGTACGTTCTAACAATAAGGATCCGATAGAGGTAATATGTAAGTAGTAGGTCAAGACATCCGATATTACTTTTGCAGGAGTCTACGGAGGCACAAGATGGGGATCCAAAGGTGTAGGTGCGTTGATGGGATGCGTGTAGTGGGTAGGAGGTAGGAATATAAGATTAAATGTAGATCGTCAGGGGACATTCATTAAAATCGTCAGAGAGAAAGGGGACAAGAACGGGCTAGAGTAGGGTATATCAACTTGAGATGGGGGAGGTGGTGAGCCAATCAAGCAGCTTGAAGAATCCCCACATGGCGCCGCCTGCGATGACGGGGAGCGTGAGGTTGTCGTCGAGGTTCCCGACGTCTGGTGAAGGAAAAAGGATCACGCGATGAGTACACGCGGGAAAGTCAGAGAGGGGCACAGAGAAGGCGAACCTAAAGCCTCGGATACACCGGCCACCACACCCGTCACGACGCTCACTATCCCCAGCCCCGCCGCCGACCCCACCCACTCCGCCGACGACCACGACCACGCCGGCACCGCCTCGCCCATCGGCGCGACCCACCCCCAGAAGGATACCGCTATCAAGGACCCGGTGACTGCTCCGCCGAGGAATCCCGCGACGGACTTGCGGCGCGCGAAGGGGAGGGGGAGCGTGAGCGCGGCGAAGCCGAGAGGGATGGAGAGGGATTGAGGGAGGGGAGAGGTGCGGCGGCCGTACATGCGTCCGAAGGTGGATGCGGCGGTGTCGCACCATGATAGGCTGTGTGAGGCGGTTAAGGTTGGTTAGTGAGGGTTGGAGAGGGAGGAGGGGGACGGACATTAGGATGGAGACGACTGCGATGTCTAGTGGGTATAAGGAGAGCACGATTATGGCGCCGAGGAGGTACCATATTACACCGTTCGTTGAGTTCTGGTAGAGAGGGGGTGAGAGAATGAATGGGGATGAAGAAGGAGGGCAGACCTTTTCGGAGTCGCGCATGAGGAAGCCGAGGAAACGTTCGTACGTTCTTGCGACGGATGGGTAGCGGAGGCGGATAATATCGGTGATCCCGATGACAGCAAAGGCGACAGACAAGTATACAATGACAACATGGACGGAGGAGTGCGAGATGTAGAGCGGGAGCACGAGAAAACCTGGGGTTGCAAGTGAGCACGCGACCACATCGATACAATGATAATCGATACTGACCTATAGATGAATGAAGAACTTTGCGAGGCACTTCCCAGTCTATCTTGTCTTGAGTGGCGGGTTTATGATCTGCACCCCTCCGTCGCGTCTTTTGCGGAGCATCTGTCAGCTCGCGCACGACGGCCCCTAATCCCAAACTCATGTTCTCATCCACACCCTCCAAGACACCGCCGTTCGCATAGATGATACTGCCATTGGAGGACAGTCGGCGAAGGGGTTTCCGTCGACTGGGTTTGGTGCCGTCTGCGGTGGCCTGGATGGCTGCGCGGAATGAGATTTTGGGAGAGGGTGAGCGGGTGAGGGAGCGCCGGGAGGACATGGTTGTGCCGTTGCGGCGGGCGATGGAGGAATGGGAGTTTGATATCTGGCTGAAGGCGTCGTTGGCGGGGAGGGACATGCTCACAACCTGAATGGCGTCAGTCAAGACGTTTGCGCAAAAGTGACGGTGGCCACTCGGCTTCGAGTTCAACAAATTCCACTTTCAGGGTATTTGACTAAGCAGAAACTACGTAAAATATAAAACATGCGACACCACAGCATCACAGCTACGACTGTGAATGCGATGACCAGAATGAGTCGTATGTCATCGGGGCACCGCGACTGTAGCCTGTATTCTGGCCTGATGACGAGCCATCTGTGCGTTGACCGGTCAACCAGCGAACAGGTAAACAGGAACGTGAACAAACCTTCCGGGTTTCGTGGTCCAAAAATCGGAGGCGCTAGCTTTCTCGGAGGGATGTCTTTTAGCTTTGCACCTGACTGAGGCTTCGGCTGTACAACATGCCCCGAGCTGGTGGTAGGAACGGACGGCGAAGGTGTGTGCGGTCGAGAGTGAGGCCGTATGGGTGACTGTCCCTGCTCGAGCTTGGGCTTCTCGGGACTTCGTCTGGTGACGTGCGGACGATAATAACTCATTTCCTGAGGTTTTGAAGGGTCCGTCGGGAACATGCTTTCACGCTGATCCTGAGCAGCCTGAGTTTCAGATGGCTCTTGCATGGTTGAATCGGAAGCCGGTGGATCGACAGGGGTGGATCGTGCTGGTTGTGGTTGTGCGGTGTCGCTGGGTTTGGGTTGCACGTCAGGGTCAAAGTGAGCCTCTTGGTTCGGGGATATGTTACGCAGAGGCTCAGAAGCCTCGACGCCGAGGTGTCTACTTGACTGCGCCTGGCCCTTCGCCGGGGAATTAAGGTCATATACTTCGGGTACTGGTACTGTTGCAGACGCTGGCGGCTTGCGTATTTGATGCTGCCGGAAGTAGAGGTTCTCAACCTCGTTCAAATTCTGCTTTTGCTAATACGCACGAACGGTTATTCAGGCATTTTTGCATTTGTACAGAGATTAAGGTCACTCACCCAGCCGTGCTCGACTTTCAATCGTGCATATTGTAAACGCAGCTGGAGCTGGCGTGTAAGCTGTAACAAACCCAACTCTTTCGGCGAATGGTAAACAGCAGAAGTGCTGAGTGCTCACAGCCCAATATTGTGAATTTGGTGTGCGTAGTTGGGGCTTAGCCTTGTCCGCTGAGGTGGTAACCTGTTTCTTTGGACTTGACGAGTTGGCTGTCATGGCGTCATGAGGTGGTTGGTGGTTAGTTGAATGTTAGCGCTGGACAACATGATGCCGTCGAGTTCATTTAGAGAAATTACCACGTGGTCAACTCAATCCATTCTGAATAGTAAATGGAGCTGATCGGAATGACAAAATCGCATTTTCCGGTGGACGATCGAGCGATGACGTGTAAGGATTGGGGCAAGCATAATTTTTCTTAGCATGCTATAGAACCATGAACGTAGCTGAAACAATGTAACATAAACGGACAACAATCCGCGCCAAAATATTACTTTTTGCTCTACGATCGGCCGGCACCAGGGACGTTCCTCCTCTCCCGCCGCGGGGCCCGCTCCTGCATGGTTGATAAGGGCTGGGAGACTGACACGTTGATCGTGTCGAAGTTGAGGGCTTTCAAGAGCGCCTGGAAAATCAATGATTCATCAGCAATTCGTTCAAACAAATTAGAATACTCGAGAGGAAAAGAATGATGGGACAGAAATGTGGGGAGGAAACTTACCTTGGTATCAAGGTCAACCTCGAGACCATTCACGCTCGTGTCGAGCGCAGAGACTTCGGGGACGTAGTTGTCCTTCCGCTCGCGCTCCTCTTCCTGCAGCTTGAACGAGATACCGCGCACGGGTCCGCGCTGGATACGCTTCATCAAGTGTGTCGTGAACCCGGAGATTTTGTTGCGCAGACGCTTTGATGGGACGACGGCCTAATTTTTGCAGCATGAAACGTTCAATGACTCTAGATTCGGAAGTTGTCGAAGGGGAAGGGATGGTGACTCACGACTTCATCGATGATACGCTTGTTGGTGTGGAAGTCGAGGGTGAGGCGGGGGTAGCTAATGGAAAGTGGTCGACACAGGCTAGGACATAGGATTTGTGCGCACAAACGCACTATTTCTCAATGAGAACGCGGGAAGCTCTCTTGGTTGTTTTGGTGCGAACTCGGCCCTAGACGCAGCGCACTTCAGCGACAATAACTTGCACGTATCCGCGATGGTGCTTACCATGTTGAATGTTGAGGGAAACGATTATCGAGTGTTGTCGCTAGACGTGTGACTGAATTGGGCAATGGCGTAAACACGACCATCTGTGGCTTGGAGCTGTACAGTTCTTGCCACGTGCTCAGCCACACATTTCACGAAATTCTGCAAGTGTTCGAACGTTCACCAAACACCTCATCAACCCAAGGTGAGTTCAGTTTCGTTCATCCGTTTTCGAGGCGCAATGAGCTCTAGATGCTTCTCGTCGCTATCCCTAGTCCGCTCCGCTTTGAATCGCGTTTCGTGACGCGACACTCATAGCCGAGCTCAAAACGCTTACTTCAAGTTCTCCTGCCAGTGCCCACTCTATTACAAAAGTATCTACTTGATCACCATGGTTCGCGTATCTGTTCTCGTGCGTATATTTCGTCTTCGTTAGTTACGATACATGCTCATTTCATTTGCGCAGAATGATTGCTTGGTACGACATGTCAGATTCTTTGACCTCATGGTCGCATGCTTAAGGTAAACCCATTAGAACAATATCGTAAACGCGGAGCGTCGCGGGAAGAGGCAGGTGCTCATCCGCCCATCATCCAAGGTCGTCGTAAAGTTCTTGAGTGTCATGCAACGACATGGTGAGCTCGATATTTCTTTTTCTTTCAGCGTTCCGTTCCGTTCCTTTTTATAACATCTCTTCGGCGTGATAACTACGGGCAGTCGGTCACTGCTTCCACCTTCCTCTCGTTTTAACGCGCCGAGAAATCAATTTATCTTGTCCTCTCAGATAGCCCTTGTCGTTTTGATTTCGGTCTCGTAATACTAGGGTTCAGATTTTTGGACTACATCATTTTTTCTCTTCCGTCTTACTCCCTTTTATTCACCCTTCGACGAACAGAATGTACTGAATAAATTCTTCATTGATTTAGGCTATATCGGCGAGTTTGAACTCATTGACGACCACCGATCGGGCAAGATTGTCGTGCAACTAAACGGACGACTCAACAAAACCGGCGTCATCTCGCCTCGCTTCAATGTGCAAGTAACGCAGATTGAGTCATGGGTCAATTTACTCCTTCCATCGCGTGGGTTCGGAATCATCATCCTCGTATGTGTCCTGCATTATGTGCTTCCCAAAGTTCGGAGATTAACTGTGTCTCCAAAGACAACGTCATCGGGCATTTTAGATCATG